AAATCAAACATTAAATTTATCATTTTTCACCGCTTACAATTTAATCGATAAATAGGGTGCTAATTTTGTAAAAATGAGAATTAGGCACTACATTCATAGATTTCCAAAAAATTTAGTGCCTTTCTGAAAGAACATTTCTAACAGCCAAAATTTTATGTTTACATACATATCACTCGATTTTTCCAAAACACATCAAAAATATTTTTAAAATTAACTTTTAAAAATAAAATACATATTTTCATGCTTAAAATTTTAATCTCAAAATATGATAAATATAAATATCAAATTTTTTTTTTTTGCTTAGACATGTAAATACATAAGAATTGTGAGGTATTTTATGAAATTTTCCCGACAAGTTATTTTAAGCAGTCTTAGCGGCTAATTGATGCATAACAGGTCATTGTGGGTTAGAGAAAAAATAAAATATTCATAAAAATATCCTCAAGGCAAGACACGTTACAAAATTTGTTTAAAAATTTTTGTGGCATTTTACATACATGCCACCCATTTGCATATCAAAAGCATAAACTCTCAATTTTTATTAACTTATATTGTATTTACACAACAAAACAATAATACATTGTGTTACCAAGTTGAAAAATTAAAATAAATTTTAATAAATAACATTCCAAACAGCTAGAATATAAAACATTGAGCCATAACGATGCAACGCTTCTTTTGAAAAATAAATCTAATTTTAAAAAATAAAATAATAATAATAATAATAACTAAATTGAAGATTTAAAACTATAAATCAACAAAAAAATTCTCAAAATCAACATAACCGTTTTCAAACATACATTCTAGAGTAATTAAACTAAGACTTGTTATTTTGAATCATAATTAACGACTCTTCCCAATTCCTCTCATAATCAATCCAATGATGATGAATCATTAAGCTAAATAAGCTTAAGATTAACAAGCTGCTCAATATTGATAGGATACACAACATCATCACCACCACGAAACGCCTTTTTTGCCATTATAACATTTGTCTTCTCCGTCGGATGAAAGGCATCCCAAAACACATATTGCTCTCTATTAGGACATGGTGTCTCATATGGCAAGCAAGTTAACTGCCCATTATTTCTCCCAATTCCACAGCAACCACTGTTAATCACGTGAAAACCTGCAAAAAAAAATATAAATTAGTTAATACAATAAAACAGTGATCGTTAGATTACTTAATTATTGATTAATTAGATAATAATTACCATATGTTTCAGGGTTGTTAATTATGTCCATGAACATGTGATAATTGTCAATATAAGTGAATCTGGCACTTGGAAAATTGTAATTCAGTCTATCAACCATTAGCTTCATTTTTCTGTTGAATGGCAAAATAAGGCTTTTATCTATTTCCTCAGAGCATTGAAGCAGCATGTTCAGAGCCAAAATGTTTGGTACACAGCCTAATGATCCTAGTCCAGCCAGCACAAATTTCCTTGCTCCAAGATTGTACAAACTCTGAAATCAATAAATATACATATATATATATACATAAGTTAAGTAGACTGTAATGAAAAAGTATTTATATTTTTAAATAGGAAATGTGGCATGTCATGTGTGTAAAAAATTAAGTTTAAATTTAAATATATAGATACATAAGAATTGAGTGGTAGGTATGTAAATCTTACGATAATGAAATAAAATAGGAAGATTTACGTTGTTTAGGGTTTATCAATATTTATGTAATAATTTACAGCTCTAAAACTTAAACTTCACATGCATAACAACATATGCATGGAAGGGTGAATTTGGTGATATTTTGATGTGATATGAAACATTTTAGCCGTATGAAATTAATGTAAAGAAGCAAAGTTTAGGAAGTTAGGTGTAAAAACATAGAAATTGAGTGGTATGCGTGTAAATTCCCCTATAAAAAAAAAAATGGAAACAGAATAATATATACTTACAGTCAGCTGATGATAATAGTGTTGGATTAGGAGATCAGAGAACTGGGTTGGGTTGTATCGGCTGCGAGTGTCGTAGTTTGGCATGAGATAGTTGTTGAGGTAGTCGTTGCTTCCCATTCCTATGTATAGGATGGAGTCAGCAATGGATTGGCCGACAGCATCGACGCTGAGATTCGTGCTGATTTGATTGAGGGTGGATTCGAAGTTCTTGATCTGTTCATTGAATGGAATACGTGCCAGCTGCATGCGCGCACGCATGCATAGATGGTGATTAGAAAATGCACGTAAATTAGTTGAGTTTTAGTGTGAACATCAAATATTCATTATTTTAAAATGTAATGCATGTATAAAATTAATGTAAAAGTGTAAATTTAACCAAGAATATAGAAGCTATAATCATATATGGATGGCGAAGATGCGGCCTTACAAAATTCCGGCCGGTGTCATCGAGGATACCGGCGGCGGCGGAGGCATAATTGACGCCGTGGAGAAGTCCTTTGCCAGAGGCTTCAGAGTATGCCGGTATGAGCGGGAGACCAAGGAGGCTAGCTGCCAAAAAACTCAATAAAACCAATGAGCGGGATACTGCTTTTTAGAATTGCCAGAAAATTATATGTTGTTATTTTACAAATATAAACATACTTATATGGATGCTCCTCACTTTAAATTTATAATTATAAAAGTAAATACCAATGCCTCCAAAAAATTTATGAAAGTAAATAAATAATAGAAAGTGGCGAGATAATGAGAATAGCACTTATAGATCACCTATCTCATCAACAATAGTGTAGCCATTGGAGAACCTCCCGGTGGGCCCATCAGCAAAATCAATTCCATAAGGATAATAGTTGGCTTTGGCCAACGAAGCCAAATTATTATTGTTACCGTTATCTATTAGAGAATCGCCAAAAATAAACAGTGCCGGAACTAGACCCTTCCGGCCTCCGCCGCCGCCGCCGTCGTTGTCCGGCGATATATCTGGCGAACAGCAGGAAAGCAGAAAGCAGCTAGATATGTGGAGCAGGAAGAGAGTGGAGCTAAAGGTTGCCATAAGTGTTTGTGGAGGATAAAGAAGGGAAGGGAGGGTAATTATACGTATAGCGCTGAGAGAGGGAGTGTGTGTGTGTGGGGAAAGAAGAAGGTGGTTGGAGGAGTTATTAAGAACTGTAAATGTGAGCTTTTGGGTTGTGTAGAGGGCGGGAAGATCAATAGTCCTCAGGCAAACTCTCTCAAGTCAATTTTGGGAATAGAAATAGAGTTTAATGAGCTCGTTGTTTATATAAATTTTGCCCTCATTGTTTCGATGTGCGTTTTTTTTTTTTTGGGATTTGTAATTGACCGGCTGATTGGGATTTGTAATTGACCGGCTGAACTTTTATTTTAATATTGGGAGGGGAAGTATGCATAAAATTGATCTTTATTAGTTTTAAATTTTTCATTTATTTATCAACTTTAATAACTATATTTATTTCAAAGTAAATACAATATTTTTAATATATGTGTTAGATGCTTTCAAACTTTGATTGAGAGTCATCCAAAATTAAGTTTCAACAAACCTCAATCAAACTGACTGGCTCGATGAGGGATCTAATGATATCAAAATCAATATGATCTAAGTAAAATCAAAATCATATCAAGTCGTTAAAACCACTTATATAAAAGTTTTCCATGCATATTTGGATGGTTGCATGGATGTTGAATTTGCTTAGGTCATGGTTGAATCGAGCGTCTCGACAAAGCAAATCAAACGAGCCTAAAATTGTTTAACTCTAACATCATTAAGACACTTAAAGGTTCATCGAACATTGTCTGATCGAATGAACATCTTAGGCCATCCAATCAGAGTGATTAATATTCATTTATTAATTGCAACTGAAATTTTATAAATAGAGTCGCACTCTTCTCATAAGAGAAGAAAAAGATAGCTTAAAGCATGAAGAGAGGGTTTAAAGCTTTTAAAAGGAGCTCAAGTCTAGCATCACTCATGCAGTAATCGACAATCGTCAACCACCGTCGAACACCACTTGTTAGTCGTTGTCGTTCACTGTCAGTCGATGCCCGCTCATTGTGACGAAGCTTTGTGCAAAGTAACAACTGCACCACGAAGTCACGAAATAACATGCAGAATGGTGCATCATCCCAAACATGGGGTTGACTCTAAAGATGGTGCAACAATGTACCCGATTGCAGTGCAACTACACACTCTAAAGATGGTGCATCAGTGCACCACGAAGCCAGTGTAACAACGCATCTCATATACACTTGTGCAGCTCCCGACTCCGTCACTTACGACCCGCGAAAACCATTACAACTCATCACTACAGCCGACATGACCAACTATGACCTAATGGTCCACAGCTCATGTAGCTCCCAAATCCGATAATCACGGCCTACAAATGTTATTACAACTATCATTACGATCTATGTGGTCCACAACTCGTACAACTCCTGACTTGAGCCCCTTATGCCTAACAGACATCATCACAGCTCACTACTACGAGTTGTACGACCTACATGTTACATATCTTCCGCAACTCCCTTCTACGACCTTCATAAGCAATTGATGCTCATGAAGCAACCACCTACGACTCACCTGAACAACTGTTGTCATGGTTATCAACTACGGATTTTACGATAAGCTGACGTTGCAACTACAGTCCAACACTCACAACAAATTACTACATTTGCGATAATCAGTGTTGGTCTTATGAGTCCAACGCACGTTGCGAGCGTTGGAAAGATTAAGTCCAACGCACCCTTATAGTTTGTTGTCACCAAAAATTATAACTAATATACAAAGATATAACTTCATAACTTAATCTTTCCTATTTCATGACACAAGTAGACATGCGAACTTATCATTCCTAATAGAATATTTCAACTGGGAAAGACCCTATAATTTTTTCCTTCTATAAGTTTTTCATGTAAAAGCTGATGGCGTTTATATTGATTGTTTTTATTCGAGTGAATACATAACTTTCGTGCAACACTAAGATGATAATATATTAATTTATGATCGTAAATTTTATAGCACTCATCAAATTTAATATAAGTTTTTTATTTCAAAATAAATGTACTGGCTTCTAGACTAGCTTTTTCTTTTTCCATTCCTGCATGAAAGAGCGAAAAAGGATAATAAGACAACTGTAATGATAAATTTGTTTTTTAAAGTTTTTTAAAATAGAAAAATAACAGAACAAATCTGGTCCCGTAGCTCAGTTGGTTAGAGCGTTGGTCTTATGAGCCGAAGGTCGCGGGTTCGAGCCCCGCCGGGACCAAGTTGCGGGAGTAATTTTTGGTTTAGACAACACTTCAATTTAATCTTATTTATCCTTTTGTCGTTTTGTATTATCTAGTCCAGGCCAAGAATTTCATCACCATTTACTTAAAACATTTGTCGTTTTATTTTATTTTTTATTTTAAATTCATTAAAACTCTGTTACTGTGATGAATGCAACAATGTGGGCGGTTGATTTAACACGTAGCTCTATCTATTAAGTTCATAAAATCTATCTTGTCATAATAAAACTTTATGTTTATTATAGAATATAAAAAAACCTTATTCATGAAAAAATTATTCCCGTTTTATTATATTTTCTCTGCAGCAATGACATGCTGTAAAACATGTTTTTGGGTGGGGACGGACATTGTTTGGTGGATATAAAAAAGGGAGATTTACATGCCTACCACCCAATTCATATCTATTAACGTTCGATCATGTAAATATCAATTATTATCTTTGAAAAAGGAGATATTTACATAGACAGCACTAAAATCTTATGTTATCAGTTTTATAAGGTGAAATATACATTTTCAAGCGCAACTTTAAAGCACTAAAATGATGTATATGTAAATTTGAAATTTTGCGTATGACATATATATAAATGTATAATGTACACACAAATCTAGATATATGGGAAATTCATAATTAAATTTTATCTCGTTGAATCAAACTCGCCTGCTAAAATGGCTAAATTATTCATATTTGACAACGTAATAGATCCAATTTGCGCCTCTTCATCCTCAATATGAAAACTCTAAATTTATCCCATTTGAGACTATAATTGGAGGAGGCCATTGTGGGTGCCCCAAACAGCAGTCATTCTCTCATTTAAAAATGCCGCCTAACATTAAGAGTTCAATACCATCTCTTATGTATAAAAGATAGTAGTTGTACCAATGTGAGATGTACTATGATGATTAGTTTTGATGCGTGCTAGATTATTCCCGGCGGTAGAGTAATAAATTATCGTCTTAGCGTTGTATGAAAGTTTTACATACACACAGATGAAATAGAAAAAAATTGTGATGACTCCAGAAGCTTTTACGCGGAAAACCCGTTGTGGCCTAATTGCGGAAATCCACTATTGATCGATGATTACAAAAATCTCTTGTCCCACAGACGGTAATGTGTAACTATACTTCTCAGATTACAATGTCGACTGACGCGTCTGGTTGATGGTGATAGACGACGGTCGGCAGCGGTCGACGACGGTCGGCGGTGGTCGACGACGGTTGACGATGGTGGACGATGTTAGGCAGTAGTCGTGTGAGATCGGTGGTGGTCGTCGGCGATCAACGACGGTCGACGACGGAGGTCGGCAGTGGTTGACGATGATTGGTGGTGATGCTGAGATGCAATTTCTCTCAAAACCTTAGGCTCTCTCTCTAGACTTCCTCCCCCCTCATGAGAGGGATGGGGCGGGCTCTATTTATAGTGTTCTGGATGATGAAAATATGTTGGTGGTGTATCAAGTTTAAAGTTTTCTCCTTCGACATATGTAAAAGAAGAGGATAAGAGAACTTGAAAAAAATGAAAATTTTGTGTAAAATAAGAGTAAGGAGAACCGGACTTTGAATGAGGGAGGAAAACCATAATTTGGCACGCGAAAAAAATAATAAGATAATATGTGTTGAGGTTTCATCCTGAATTTTGCTAATTGAGCGAGAATTTGAAAAATGAATGTAATATTGTGATAGATTTATAAATAGTAATGTTTCGGGCCACATGTATGTAATCACTCCTAAAAATTAAAGTTTAGATATTAGATATGCAAATGCATAAGAATTGCACGCACGCATGTAAATCTTCATTATTACTTTTATTGTTATTAATATCAATATTGCTATTCTAAAATTGTTAAGCTTGATGCGTGCTAGAAAATTCGCGACAGTAGAGTAATGGATTATCGTCTTAGCGTTGCGCGAGGATTCAACACACACTCAGATGAAAATAAATCAAATTGTGATGACAACAGAAGTTTTTACGTGGAAAACCCGTAAAGGGGAAAAACCACGGGGCCTGACCCAGTGGTAAAAATCCACTATAAGTTGATGATTACAAATGCCCCTTATCCCATAGGCGGGAAAATGTTACTAGCTTTCCAAGTTACAACGTTGACCGACGACATCTAGTCAGTGGTGGTCAACAGAGGTCGGCGGTGATCGACAGTGGTTAATGACCGACAACGATGGTCGACGGAGGTCGGCGGTGGTCGGCAGACGTCAACGGTGATCGACGGCGATCAACGGTGGCTGGTGGTGGTCGACAGAGGTCGGCAATGGTGATCGACGGTCAGTGGTGGTCGACGATGATCGACGATAGCAGGGATGATCTTAAACTTGGGCTCCTTCTCAAAACCTCAAGTTCTCTCTTAAGTCTCTCCCTTTCATGTGAGGAGTGAAACTCTATTTATAGTGCTTTGAGTGCAATTAATGCAAGAATATGAACCATTTTGATAGGACGGTCCGGAGAGATTTTCTGATGTTTGATGGACATTTGAGTGCCTTAACGATGTTGGAATTGACTAATCTTGGGCTCGTTGGATTCGTCTTGTCGAGATGTTCGATTCGACTATGAAATCGTTAGATTCGACATCCGTTTGACATTTCAAATGCCTCCAAAAATCCTCTAAGAGTGGTTAATGATTTGACTCTGATTAGGCTGACTTTTATATCATTATGTCTGTTTTATCAAGCCGATCAGTCTGACTATAAGTTTGTTGAAATCAGAGCTCTGGATGACTCTTAATCGAAGTTTGAATGTTTCTTATTTAAAAAATTGTACCGAAACTCGTACTGATTGATGAAAATCTGTTCTTGACGTGTCAAAGCTAAATTTCAACATTAAAAATGAAGCGTGCTCCATTCAACAACCAGCGCAATTATTTTCTCATTCAAAAGAAAAAAAAAAATGTAATATTTGTGGAAGCCAATGAATAATTGATATTGTTTTTTAAATTAAAATATTAAGGCTAAATTATTAGAAGCGCTTGTTCTTAATAATCTTATTTTATTATTAATTAAGTATCTACTATTTTATAAAGCATCATATTTCATTTCAAAAATTAAACTTGAACGTCAATTTGCTTCCAAAAATAATAAAAGAATTTAAAGCATATTCTATCGGGTCAAGCACATTTTTCCTATTTTACTTTTTCAATTATTTTGCTCTAGAAATGATTCATTGATATCGAATGAACATTCAATAAGCTCAACTATTTTTCTTATAACCTTATTCGGTTATACACGTATGATTCAAATATCACTGCTCATTAATTTATTTATAATTATAATTTTTTTAAGTATAGCATAATATAACATTTGGCTTAAAATATTTTTAAATAAAATATTAATGACCCTCATTGGCAGCACATTTTATTTGTTCGATCCTTCCATCTCTTAGATTAGGTTTCCACAAGGCAACTTGAAAACCAGGCATTAAATCTAAGATTAGCTTCCAATTTCTATGTATTAACAAACCAATCAACATAATTTACTATCCAACGTATGCCAAAAATATGAAAATTTGATGGACCATAAGTAAAAATTGAAGTTTAGATGATTGAAATGCTAGTACTCAAGAGCTACATACAGACAAAAAAGCAAACTTGTTCGGACTAAAAAAAAAATCACATTCAATTTTAAGAGAAATAAATCATAGATTAGCGGAAGCGTATCAGAGTCCATTAGATCGATTGCACAAGGTATGATCTTCCAATCTGCAGATTTTCTAGATTTTCTTTAGTTTCTTGTTGATGGGGTACAAAAAAATTGATGTGTCTCTCTGCAAATCGGGGACCATGACCCTTAAAAGTAACTAACAGACGGTTACAAAAAATTTTGCTTAATTCTAATTCTGTCCCTCATCAAATTAGAATTGCACTTATGGTATCTACACTATAATATCATGACAAATGTGTCAAAAGTCATAAACTTAATTCTAAATTAGACCACAACAATTTTGACTTATTAAATGATGACCCAACACAGTTATTAATTACATTGTAGTCCTAAAATTAATCCAACAGAAGTCTCTCTTAAAAAAGAAAAAAAAGTATTAAGTGCAAACTCGGTAGATGCAGTTTTTGTTGTATTTTAGTTATATTGGTTGCTAAACCCTAAACCAATAGAGCTAAAATTCAATGAAATTTATATCTACATACTCTGCATCTAATAATTGCTCCTAAAAAAAGAGAAATTATATCTAGACTACACAAAGCTTGTTTTATAAATTCTTAACTCAACTATCATCTTCCCCCCACTTTACAAATTCTCACTCAAATATCACAATTCGTTGTAAAACATCAACTCATACTTTTTATTTTTTTATCAAATTCTAAATATTTTAATGGTGCCACACGTCAATATATCAGTTTGGCTGTTTGAAAAAATAATCTAAATGTTCAATTTATAAATATCAATAATTGTAGTGGCCTTAATGTAATCATATATATATATTAAAAAAAAAAGGAAGAAAGAAATATCCAGCTGCCTTATTAAATGAGTCAAAACTGAAGATTTCTGAGTTATAATTTCTGGGACACTTCATTTCAACTGCTCTCTCTCCCTCTTCTCTTCCCCTTTTATGCAAAAGCACTACAAGCTTACAGAGGGAGCCAGAGAGGAGATTCCGCAGAATAGAGAGATGGCCATTAACAAAGACATGGAGAGTTGGATTAGCAGCGAGCAAAATGGTTCAGTGGAGCCTCTCATCCAGCAAGCAAATGTGAAGACGAACAAAAGATCAATATGGATGATTCTATTCAGCACCGTAGTTGTTGTCTGTGGCTCATTTGTTTTTGGATCCTGTGTAAGTTCTACTATAATTTTTTTATTTACTATTTTATCTACTCAAAATACTTATTTTGTTACTGAATTTCTTGTTTGTTCGATAACCCTAAACATCATAATTACATGTTCTGTTTAATCAAGTTATTCTGTGAAAGTTTTAATTCAAATGAATGTTTTGTTTGTTCACAAATAGAAAACTTGGGCTTGAATTGAAAAGAAAGAGTGATTATTTATTTATTTTTATTAATGTTTTGGTTCAGAATTAAAAAAAAAAAACAGTTTTTTTTTAATTTTTTTAAAAATATATACAGGTTGGCTTTTCTGCACCATCTCAATCTGCGATCATGAATGATATGGGCCTCTCCTTGTCTGAGGTTTGTAAGGCTCTTTTTCTAGTTCATGTACCTAACAAGCTAAGTGTAAAACTTTGAACTTTCCTACATTGAAGCATTTAGCTGTGGAATTGTTCCGACAAAAACAAATTTTTTTGACGGTTTTTACAAAATTATAGAATTGTTCCATCCAAGCTTAACTGAACAAAATTTTTATTACAGTATCTTGTTAGGAAATCTCAATCTAGTTTTAAAAATTTCTGAAATATTGCTACAAATTTGCAGCCAAATAGAAGAATGGCAGCAATCTGTAAATCAAAACTACAATAAAATTGTCCCAAATGCATCCTAAATAAGACGAAATTATTCGGGCTTTGATATAAAATACTTATTTTAATGGCAGTCAAGCTGTCATTTTTTGTATATTATTGAATGGTTTTTCATATGCTTTGGCACACAACTTTACATGTTGTCTTCTCTTACGTGCAACCCTGTGGAAAGTTAGTGAGATTTGTCTCTATTCTATGAGTGGTGGCTCCCATTCAATTTTAAAAGAAAAAATTCAACATGTGCTGCTATTTTCTTTCATTATGAAGAGTTTGCTTGTATGACCTTCTCTGCTTGAATTTGTTTTGTTGCATTTTATTTTTTAATTTGTTAACATTGAAGTATCTAATCTACCAAAATCAAATCCTCATTGCTTAGGGTCTATTTAGCTACAATTAAAACTTAGGGGTCGTTTGGCGCAACTTATTCCCAACATTAACGTTTTGAAAACGTGGCTGAGGCGTTTGGTTGGAGCGTTCGACGGGCATATCGTGATACGCGCGATTCATATTCTATTAAATGCCGGTCAAGGGTTTGACCGTGCGGCCTAGTGTTTGGAGTTAAAACTTACGTACTTGCCCTCGTTGCTGCACTTGCTCTCAGCCCGTGCCCTAGGTGTCTTCGTTCCTCTCATCCGTCCTCATCCCGTGGCTTGATCGTGTGTCTCTCTCATGCGTCAGACACATCTCTCTCGACTGTGTTGCCTTTCTCCTCCTCTTCCCATCTGCAATCTGTAGTTGCGGTGCTCTGTAAGTAATTTTCGTAGTTGCAGTTGCAATCCGTAACAATGTTGCATTTGTTATGGTAATTTTTGATGGAATGGGTTTTCTGTGCGTAATATCATGGTTACTGTGGAGAAGTGAGAATAAATAACTTTTGCCTGTGATTTTTTGGCTTTTTTCATCTTTTTATGGGAATGTCGAAGACATGGAGTTTTTTATGGCAGAGTTTTTATGTGATTTTTTTTGGCTTTATTATTTTCTCAGTGAGAATTTTGAAGACCTGGAAAATTGTAAGGCATGACTTATTTCTCTATTTTTTTGGCTTCTCCTTTTCTCCTATTCTCTGTGAGAATCGTGAAGGCATGGAAAATTGGAAGGCATGGTGAGGCTTTTTTGTTTAGCTTGAATGTTTAGCTTTGATTGTAGCTGAGAATACTCAATGGAATGACCTTTAATTGTCGAATCATGTTGGAATTTAGGTGGTCTGTGTTAAATTTTTATTTGTGACTCACATTTATTTTAATAACTTATGATATTTATTTTGATAATTTAAGTTATTTATTTTCTTAACTCATGACTTATGTCATAATTTATGATAACTTATGATATTTCTCATGATAACTCATGATAATTTAAGTTATTTATTTTCTTAACTTATGTCATAACTTATGATAACTTATGAATAAACCCTATTCTTTCTAAATTTTAAAGTGTAATCCCTAAAATGAATAGAGGTTAATAACTTATGTCATTGATTTTAATAATAAAATCAATTAATTTATTAAATTATCATAAATACTATTAGTTAGTAACCTCATTGATGTGTGGTGGTTAAATAGAGCATAATTCAAAGAATGAGTCCTCTCTCTTCCTAACACATCTCTTACATTTTCCTCCATCAAAAAGTACAGAAAGTTTCAAGGGATTAGAGAGAGAAACTCCATCTCTTTAAGGTCAAATTTCTTGAAGATTAAATTTTATTATCATGAATACAAATAATACAAATATGTGTTACTTTATTATAGATATGTAAAAAATCATGAATTAAAAGATATTGTCTATCATATATTTTTAATTTTGACTATTATGTATTTTTAGAATTTATGTCATAAATGTTAAACATGAATTTCTAACATGTGGTATCATAGGTTTGATTACTAAATTTATAATTTTTTCATATAATTTTATTTATGTTAATTATATTAAATTTCCGTTGTGAATTATATCTTTAATTAACTAACTAATACTAAAGTAAAGTGATGTTATTGAAATTATTATTTATTTGACGTCGATGTTATGTTTAATTTGTTAGTCACCAAAGTGATCAAATTAATAAGTTTAATAGACGTCAAATTAAATAAATTCAATTACCCGCGAGTATGTGATACTTATTATGAAATAATTTAACATTTTATTACTAAAATATTAAAATTTATTTATTATAAAATATTTCTAGATCGCCCAAAAGTTGATCATTTATTTTATAATCTTTGAATATAATTGTATTCTATTTATATACTTAGTTTAAATATGTTTATATATAAAAAAATAATAGAGATATATAATTTAAGTTAAAACAATTACCAATTATATTAAATTTAAGTTAAGCATCAATTATGTTCATTATTGTGTATTGTTATATCACCCAAATGAAGATTTTAATACACTATTATTATTATAATTATAATTTTAATCTGATTTTATATGAATATCTATATAAGTTTAATGTTTGAAGCATTAATGTACGAACATGTTTTATTTATTTACAGTAACTACTACTGTTTCTCTTCATTTACAAGTTACATCTATTTAAATTTTCAATGAACTTAATTTCTCTGAATGACGTGAGCAAGTCTAGTTTCACCTTGGTGTTCTGGATCTTGATTTGACACTCACGGGATCTTGATTTGTGTTCTGGATCTTGATTTGACACTCACGACTGAGAAACCCCATGCTCTTACTGATTTTAGCGGTGCTAAGTAAATATCTTTCTATAAATTTTGGGAAAATTCAAACAAATTGAGCTTAATGTTTATGCGAACGATTGCAACAAACAATATAAAATGTACATTTTATAACACTGAAAGTGCTAAGAAGTTTATGAAATTTACTGATAATTGTTTTTAGTCTGACTCTGCTGATAAATCTCTTGTTGAGACGCTATTGAGTATGTTAATCAACATGAAATTTGATGGTTCTCGTACTATGTATGAGCATGTCGTTGAAATGACGAACATCACAACAAGAATTAAGACTTTGGGAATGGAAGTGATGAAAATTTTTTTGTGCAATTTATCATTAACTCATTGACTCTTGAGTATGATCAATTTCACATGAACTACAACACTATAAAAGATAAATGAAATGTGAATGAACTACAATATATGCTCATTCAAGAGAAAATAAGACTTAAGAAAGAAATAAATCACCCCATTAATCTCATGGGTCATCAAAAAGGAGCTGTAAAGAAATCTGAAGAGAAAAATAGAAAGGGGGCAAACAAAGACCACTAAAAATTAATGCGTCATCTGCCCCAACTCACAAAAAGTAACATAAAAAAATTAAGTGTCATTTTTGCAGAAAGTCTGGACGCTATTAAAATGAGTTTTAAAAGCGCAAAGACTAGTTCAAAAAGAAAGACAAATTATGTGTTTTTGTATGTTTTAAATTAAATTTAGCAAAAGTTTCTTATAATACCTGGTGGATTGATTGATTGTATCACTCATGTTTCTAATACGATGTAAGGATTCCTACAACCCAAATCATAAACCCAAATGAAAAGTTTGTCATTATGGGAAACCGAGTCAAAACACCAGTTGAAGCTATTGGAACCTATCGGTTAATTTTAGATACTGAACATTATTTAAATTTTTTTTAAACATTATATCCTTTTTGTTTCTAAATGAAAATATGACACTAAATAGGACGCAATGGAGAAAAATGATTCATGTAGCCGACCCCACGTAGTGGGATTAAGGCTTTGTTGTTGTTGTTGTTGTTGTATATCCTTTTTGTTTCTCGTAATTTGATTTCATTGTCTAAACTTGATTCTATTGGATACTCTTTTAAATTTGTAAACGATTTTTTCAATTTATTTAAACACAATTATCTCATAGGTTATTGTATTCTTTGTGATGACCTATATAAGCTTAAACTTGATAATATTTTTACTGGGACTTTGATGACTTTGCATCCCAATATTGATACTAAACGTGGTTTTATGAATTAAAGTTGTAAAGAAAGTTTTGAGGTATCTACAAGGAACAAATGACCACATGCTCGCTTGTAGAAGATCTAAAGATCTTGAAATGATAAAATATTCAGATTCAGATTTTGTTGGATGTGTTGATACCATAAAATCAATATTTGGTTATCTGTTTCTTTTGGCTGAAGGAACAATCTCATGAAAAAGTGTGAAACAGACTATCACAGCTGCTTCCACTATGGAAGCTGAATTTGTGACTTGCTTTGAAACTACAATTCAAGGTTTATGGCTGCGAAATTTTATTTCAGGACTTGGAATTATCGACAGTATTGCCAAACCGTTGAAAATTTATTGTGATAACTCCGCAGCAGTCTTCTTTTTAAAAAATAACAAGTATTCTAAAGGTGCTAAACACATGAAAATAAAATATTTTATCGTTAAGGAAGAAATTTAGAAACATAGGGTGTCAATTGAGCATATTAATCTCATGATTGCACATCCTTTAACGAAAGAGTTGCTACCAAAGACATTTAATGAACATATCGTGAGAATGAAAATTAGCAAAACCCTTTATTAGTTTTATGTTTTTTGTATTTTGACATTCGACTCAATTTTCTTGTTTCTTACATTCATAAATCTTATTTTTATCGTTAGTGTATATTTTATGTTGCATGATGTTCAACAAGATTTGTCTTTTAACATACATTATGAGAAAATGATGTTAATTCTCATTATGCTAAGTATGTAATTGATATTGTGTTACATGGAAGAGACTGTGTCGATAAATTAATGCACAACCGCCATGATTCATATTATTTCATACTTGTTAAATAATTTATGTTTGACCAATATAAAGAAAGAATTATCTACATTTAGTGCAGTATGTTATGTATTATTAAAATTAAGTGAGTCATGTGAGAGAATGTTAAATTTTTATTTGTGGCTCACATGTATTTTAATAACTTATAAGATTTATTTTGATAATTTAAGTTATTTATTTTCTTAAATCATAACTTATGTCATAATTTATGATAACTTATGATATTTATTGTTGTAAATCATGTTAACTTAAGTTATTTATATTCTTAACTCGTAACTTATGTCATAACTTATGATAATTTATGATATTTATTTTTTGTAACTCATGTAACCTCTAAAATGAATAGATGTTAATAATTTATGTCATTGATTTTAATAATAAAATCAATTAATTTATTAAATTATTGTAAATCCTATTAGTTAGTAATCCCCTTAATAGATAGTGGTTAAATAAAGCATAATTCAAAGAATGATTCCTCTCTCTTTCTAACACACCCCATACATTTTCCTCAATCAGAAAGTACAGAAAGTTTCAAGGGATTATAGAGAGAAACTCCATCTCTTCAAGATCAAATTTCTTCAAGATTAAATTTTATTATCATGAATAGAGTTATATGTTACTTTATTATAAATATGTAAAAATCTTGAATTTAAAAGATCTTGGCTATTATGTATTTTTTGAATTTGTGTCATAAATGTTAAACATGAATTTCTAACAGTTTGCTCATGATTGGGTTGCCTGGTCTGTTGGCTGGTCTATTGGAATTTTGATGCTTTTTTTTTTTGGCTAGTCCGTTAGAATTTTCTGACATTACTAATGAGTTTTCCTTTGTATCTTTTAAGGAAGATGGGCTCTAAGATTTCAAAGACCTTCCAGCGTGTGCTCTGCCACTATGAACTATAAACTTTTTTATTGACGTCACGTCGAGCACACAGTTATGGGAGACAATTTTACAGTTGTCAGCGGAGTTTCATAGAGAGGTGTGCCTTCTTTATTGACGTTACATCGGACACAAAGTTACGAGAAATAATTTTACAGTTGTCAGCGGAGCGTCATAGAGAAATGTGCCTTCTTCTGGTGGGCTTACAGTCTGACAGATTCCATTGCTGATAGTGATCAGAGTTAAATGGTATCTCTAGAGGACATTGTAGCTCGTGACATACGTCGTATCGATTTTAAAATTAATATTATCATAATTTTAATTGTCATTTTAATATTTTTTTTTCTTTTTTATCTATCTTGATACTCGCTGTTAAGTGATGATTGTTTTTTATTTTTTTTACTATTTTGTATGGATTTTTTGTTTCTCTAGTGTCAAAATATATTGTCAAGACATTTCTATTGCAAACAACATTAATTAACAGAGGCAGAATGATCATTTATCTACAAACAACTGCAAATCAGTTGTTTTCAAACAGCTGTCTCAAACAACCAATCAGCTTATCTAGATAAGCTGCAGCTGCCCCAAATAGGTCATTAATTCCATTAGAATTTAGTAAATCCATGAGGCGTTAAATCCTCAAAATTGTTTGGCATTATAGCTGTTAAATCTTGCTAAATCTTGGTAGATTGTTTGAAAACTATTTTATTTTTTAAAGGGTTTAAGTGAACATGAGATTTTTCAAGGAAATTAAAAGGACAGTGAGGTGTGATATCACTAAAAAATATCATGTGGATAAACATATCAGTTTAGCTTAGATAATCTTAATATAATAGAAGATTAATTTTTGTTACTTAGATTTACTTAAAATTAATTAACTAAGTTCAATAATTAATCACAAATAATGATCAGGATTTTATTATATTTAAACAATTCCTTGACAACTAACAACTAACTATCAAAATTCCTAAAAATTTATAAAAACTTAATATCCTTATATATATGAATGGGCATTTAACATACATGCCACACAATTCTTATCTATTTACTATCAAATACCTACACGTTTAGATTTAAAAACTCAGCACTCAAGTCTTTGATCTTACATAACAAATGCCACTATTACCGACTTCTAAAAAGTGAAATACACGTATAGGTTATGATACCAAAGTCTTATAAATGAAAATATTAAATTTTATGTGTTTGATATGTAAATACATAGGAATTGTGTAGTATGTATCTGAATTTTCATAAGATTAAATAAACTTGAAGTATTTTTATCAATATCTAATTAGCATTATACCATTTTAGAGACTTATTAAATATTAACTAAATTTTCCTTATAAACATTAAAATTTTATAGTGTTTTTTTGTAGTAATATGAAAAGGTTTAAAATAGTTAATATGAATAGTGATTCACAAGTGTAAACTAGATCATTAATCAATTAATTTCTAAATAGTTAATAAGAATGATTAATATTAGCACAAGATGTTTTTTTGAATTCAAAATCATAAGGATGAAAATAAAATTCTCAACCACTTGGCCAGTACAATTGCACTATTTTACCTAAAATGCAAGAGTATTCTGATACATGACTCAAAATCTCAAATATATATGTTGTGCCAAGTCTCTTAGCTTGCAATATCGATAAACATATTTTAATAAATGTATTGGTCACGAGGTTAATATCATTGTTAATAAGAAGATTGTAAATTAATTATTAAAATTAAAGCAATGAATAACAATTACTATCTTACATGAATATTACAGTTTGCAGTTTTTGGATCCATACTAACAATCGGTGCCATGATCGGTGCAATTGCAAGTGGGAGGATAGCTGATTTTTTAGGAAGAAAAGGGGTAATGAAAGACTAAATTATTTTGTCATAAATATTTAAGACTTTTGTCTGTCACTATTTAGGCTGTTTTCAGTCCTTGCAGGCCATGAGAGTTTCAGCTCTATTTGGTATGGTAGGATGGCTGGCAATTTATTTTGGCAAGGTATTTTATGATTATCAGATTCTAAGTTTTGTTGGTGAAATATGTAAATTTTGATTAAAGTGCAAGCTTAAGTTTTTTTTGCAGAATGTTGTACTGCTGGACTTTGGGAGGATTTCAACAGGTTTTGGGACTGGAGTTTTTTCATATGTGGTATGGTTTTTAGATCTACTAGTTTGCATATCTTTGATGTGGATTTATGCTAATAGCTTTTGTAAAGGATGGAACAAAAATGAAAGGAGCAATTACATACAAACCACCCGAAACATGCTATTTAAAAATAAAGCACCCTCTTTCATTCATTATTCAAATTCTTGCTCAAATATCAAAATTCATGGTAAAAGAACCCCAACCCGAATTTTTCAATTTTTATAAAATTCTTAATATTCTGATCGTGACGCACGTAAATACATGTGTTTGGTAGTTCAAAAAAATCACCCGTGTGATTGATTTGTAAATATCAATGTTTCATGTGGTCAGAATGTAGTTATCCCAAAATATAAATATATAATTAGTAATAGTTTTTTTAATCTTACAACCTTGCAATTTTGTTATGCTAGACTAATTAGCTCTTGCAACATAGTTTTGAACCCTGACACTACGAGAAAAAAAGGAGGATAATAATTTGTGATTAAACTTTTGAATAGTTTGACTCGATGTTTATTTTTGTTTTCGCTATAAATATTTTTAAAATTATTTTTTCTTGTAACTTAATCGTTGAAATTGTGATGAATTAAAAACTTATAATAACCACAACTTAATTTTTAGGATGGAATATTTTAAAAATAATAAGCTATCAGATTTGATTTATGTATTCCATTCTATGTTTGATTTATTTTTGTATAAGTTCCAACATGAATTTATTGATTTTATTCACAAGTAGGTGCCTGTGTTCATAGCAGAAATAGCCCCAAAAAATCTTCGAGGTGGCCTCACAGCATTGAATCAGGTGAAGCCCTCAGGATCATATGTTCCTTTATGTACTTACTTATATAGAATGTTCTTCCTTGTTCTCAATGTTTTTTTTTTAATTTACAGTTAATGATTTGTGGAGGATTATCAGTAACATATATAGTGGGTACCTTAGTATCATGGAGAGAGTTAGCTCTAATTGGTAAGTAAATTTCAAGATTATTTAGTTTGAGACATCTTGGGCCAATTCTAGACTTTTTCTTCTCTTTTGCAAAATCTCATTTTCCTTTTCTTGTCTCGAAGTAGTGATGTTAGAAATTTGTTATATGAAAAAATAAAGGACCGACCGAATTAGGCAATTAGTCTTACCGAATTAGAGTCATGCTAACCAAACCAGCCCCATTATAGGGCAGCTGAGTAATAGGCTCATGCTTCAAAATATTTAGAAGATCTTGTAACGGCTCCATTAAAACATGGGCAAAGAGATAATATCACATATTGTACTATCTCTCTTACAAATAGGGGATCATTTTATGATAAATGAATAATAGACAAGATATTTTACTCTTCATACCATGTACTTCTCTCTCTCTCTCCTCTCTTGTGCTCTAACCCTTGAAGGGTGATTCACGGATATCTTAGGATTCAACAATTTATCTGAAAAAATAATAGTGAACTTCTTGCAATCCAATTGTTGCAATCCAATTGACAACAACATTGGGAATTAGGTGAGACGTAATTCAAATTACGAAGAACAAGTAAAGCAAAAAGAAAACTGATGGTCAAAACATACCTAGAATTTTGTATATGTTCGCCGAATTGATGGTTGCATTCCATTCTCATCACTACAGATTTCACTCTGATAATGACTGTAGAGTTTTTAATTTTTATAGATATAGTCTATCGGGCATATATATAAATGAAAAATCTGATTGAAACTACAAAATTAATGAAATTCTCAAAATTTGGCCTCACAACTTAACAAGGGGGCAAATGATGATGTCCTTATTGTGACTTATTATAAAAAATTGGAATTTTGATGCAGGACTCATCCCATGTGTTATTCTACTTTTTGGCCTCTTTTTCATTCCAGAGTCTCCTCGATGGCTTGTAAGACCAATAAATTATGTTTCTACATTGCTAATTTTTCATATTACAGTTTCATGCTGTTTATTGCTCATCTGCCATACCAAGTAATATTTGTTAATGCTGCTCCCTTTCTGCTTCAAGGCTAAAGTTGGGCAACAAGAATTGTTTGAGGAATCGCTGCGTCGCCTTCATGGAAAAGATGCCGACATTTCTGAGGAAGCGGCAGAAATTCAGGTTTTCATTTGAATCAATTTCACATTTTGTAAACTCTGAATCAATTTAACTTCTGCAAAACTTTTCTTTTTTTACAGGACTACATAGAAACTCTTAACAGGCTCCCGAAGGCTAAAATTGTGGACCTATTTCAAAGAAAGTACATCCGTTCAACCATTGTATGAGAAATCCTTGAAATGATTTGAAGAATGTTAGCATTTTCATAAAGATAATATATATATTATAGATATATATATGAAATGGTTTATGGCCATCAGGTTGGCGTTGGGTTAATGGCATTTCAACAGTTTGGTGGAATCAATGGAATTGTATTTTATTCAAGTCAAACATTTGTATCTGCAGGTGCCATTTCTTGACAAAAGAAGTTATTTATAGAACTAAACTTCAAATTAGTCCCCGGATCATTCAAATGCATTCAATTTAGTCTCAGAGTTTTGCAAAGCTCTAATTTAGTCCCGACAACAACAACAACAACAACAACAACAACAACAACAACAATAACAAGCTTTTATTCTACCAAGTGGGGTCGGCTACATGAATCATTTTTCTCGATTGTATCCTATTTAGTGTCATATTCTCATTCAGTTCTAATAAATTAAGATCATTTTTTTATGCAACTTGCCCATGCCTTCTTAGGTATGTCTCTATGTTTAACATAAGTCGAATCTAAAACATCTACCCTCCTAACCAGATCATCAGATGATCGAAGTTTAATGTGTCCAAACCATCTAAGACAACTCTCTCGAATCTTGTCTGCCACTAGGCTATACAAACCCTTTCATGGATATATGACAACCAAACCTCTAATTTAGTCTCTCATTATTGAAAATTGATCCAAAATGGTCCCTCGTGTAGAAGTTATGACCCAAAAATGATCCTGTTTTAGTCCTTCGGCTGTACAAAATTGATCTCAATCTTGTTCCAGATGACAAATTGGGATCAATCTTTGATAGTCGGGGAAACTAAATTGGCGCACTGCAAGACTTTTGAGACTAAACTGATCACATCTGAATAATCGGGGGCCTATTTTGAGAGTTACCAACAAATTTATGTGTACCCTTCTTATACACACACAGTCTTAAGCATGCGACATATCTTATTATTCTTCTTTAATTGCAGGATTTTCTTCTGGAAATTTTGGAACCATTTTGATTGGTGCCATACAGGTTTTAAATATGGAGTTTTTTTTCAGTTCTGCTATTTGAAGGAATGCAGCTGCTGCATTACAGTATTGATTGATATTTGCTTTCCTTATGCAGTTGCCAATAACAGCTTTGGGAGCAATATTAACAGATAATAGTGGAAGAAAACCGCTGCTACTGGTAGGGAGTGAGATTTAAAGCTTCTTTTGAGCGGCCTTTTTTTTTGTCTATTTTTATTGTCAGAACTTTTTAAAAGCTAATCTATCAATCACAACATTTACTCTAATTTTCAAAAAATTATAGTCTAAAAGTGTAAATTGTCAAAATAGTCTCATGACTATTTAGGTGTGGTTATTGTAGTTCAAGATTTTATAAAATTGTCAAATTAGTCTTCAAACTTTTTTATTAAGGGCTGAAGTAATCTCCAACAAAGGATATTTGAGCCTCCATTAAAAGAGACGGAGACTAAAGTAGCACATTTATAGACTCTGGGATTAAAATTCATTTTGACACTCCTTTTTTCTAGAATAAATTTTGTGGGAAAAAGAAGGAAATAAAAGTTGTATAATTTTTTCATTCAAACAAGCACTATTTCGGCAGAAAAAATTACGTGAGGCGGATTGCACGTCAGGATGATGTTTTTGATGTGGCTGCACGACCCGCACCGCCATTTATTGCTCGGCGGCCCATCTAGACCTTCGTCCAGACTTGCGGTAGCCACACGAAATAAATGCTCCTATTTTGGTGGGCTACTATTCATACTAGAAAATTAGTCAAAAAGCTTTATTGGGATTAGTGTAATTAAAAAGAAAATAACAATAGAATGGACATTATGTGTTTCAGATTTCTTCTTCTGGGACCTTTTTAGGCTGCTTCATAGCTGCCTTATCTTTCTTTTTACAGGTAATGGTTTGCCTTAGAAACCCTGTTTTTTTAATAAATCGCACTTCATAAATTTTCTGATAAAAGATTTGCAGGAACGAGGAGTGAATGTGGAGTGGAACTCTATCTTAACACTTTGCGGCATATTGGTTAGTGTTTCAAATCCCATATCTTGAAATGAGTAATGTGCCAAAATAGTCTCGTTCTAGAGTTTAGTGCTCGACTATTTTAAAATCGAGCTCTAACAGTCGTGCACGGGGACTATTTCAGCCCCAATTTAAAGACTTTCAGTGGGTGGTATAAGTAAAAATATCTCATTTACATATGATTTGAACATTGAGTTTTGCTGTAATGCTCTGTAATTTTCTTAAATGATTTTGCAAACAAAAACATTTTGCTTTATGAGGCAGATTTATATTGGATCTTTTGCAATGGGCATGGGTGCAATTCCATGGATTATTATGTCAGAGGTAGAACAGATTTTACATTTGTTAGAAGAATTGATCGTTTTCATAATATATTTAAATAGAGAACAGAAATTCATATAACTGTGATAATTTGATTGGTTACAGATTTTCCCCATTAACATCAAAGGAACTGCTGGTAGTCTTGTGACTTTGATGAACTGGTTTGGATCATGGCTTCTCTCATACTCATTTAACTTTCTCATGAGTTGGAGCTCTTGGGGTAATATTTTTCTGGAAATAGTTTTACATACGTAGTCAATTTTTACGCATTTGCATATCTTAACACCTGAACTTCAATCTTTATATATATGGCACCTTGTCTGTGTATTTCAAATTTTAGGCGTCAGAACAATGGTATCTTTTATGTGACATGAAAGATTTGGGTGGTATGAATGTAAAAAAAATTAAAATTCTTGCGTTAGATATGTAAAGACATAAGAAAATGGTGCTATGTATGTAAATGCCGCAAAAAAGGAGGATTTACATACATACCACTTAAATCATATGTATTTACGTATCTTACTCCTGGATTTCAATTTTTGCATATATATCACCTTATCTATGCATAAAAATGTTAAAATGATGATATTTTTTATGTGATATGAAAGATTTGGCTGGTATAAATATAAAAAATAAAGTATGTAAATAAATAGGAATCGTGGTATATATGTAAATAATTGAGAAAAGTTAGTAACTATTTGATTGTTTGTAATTTCGATTCCGCCGCGGGCATGAAACTTTTGCCTGAGTTTCCAATCATGTTTATTTTGGTACGAGTGCAATATAAATTTTGTTTGATTAATCATGCATTGCGGTCATCTCAACGCAAATTTGACGGTTATAATTATTCCGTCCCAATTTTTTTCTAAATAAAATGTTTGTATTTTTGCATGTTGGGCAGGCACATTCCTCATATTTACAGTAATCTGTGCAGCGAATGTTGTTTTTGTGCTGATGCTTGTGCCAGAAACGAAAGGGCGCACTTTAGAAGAGGTCCAGTCCTCCATGAATTCTTAGTCTTATTATTTACAAACAGAAAGGAGGAACTCAAAGAATTTACTGCTTATTTTTCAGAAATTTGGGTCTAGTATGTAATTTTCTTTATTTATTAGGTTCCTGTATAATTTCGATCTGTAATTGATTTGCATTTGTCTGCAATTGTTTTAATGCATATTTATTAATAATTGAATCTTGTTTTAGTCCCAGAATTTATAGAAGAGCCAAAATAGACTACATATTGTTTCTAAAATTGAGGGGCAGTTAAGGATTATTTTTACATTTCTATAAACTCTCTGATTAAAACGATCTCATATAAATAGTATTAATTATTTCTATCCAACTAATGTGAGAAATCCGACCGGACCTAGAGGGTCGAGCAATTGATGGTCTCCATCTAGAAGATCGGTCGACAACACTGATCAATTCATCTCATCGAAACCAATTGACCGAGCCTTAGATGATAAGAACTTGGTCCCAAAGGGGGTATAATTATTATAATAGCCTGTTCAATTCTCCTTAAAGCAGGGTTAGAAATGTAATCTTCCTTCGTTGTTTTTCTTCTCTTATAAATAGAGTGATATTTTTATGTAATAGGACTTTTTGCCTCTCTCTTCTGTCATTTATCTTCTTTACAAGTAGAGACTTTAGGCTCTTCTCCATTTAATGTAACAAAAAAAACTCGATTATATAAAAAGGATCTCAAGATCCCGTGAATACCCCATTTTGCCCCATAAGGGCAAGTCGCTGTAAGCTCCCTCCTCTCTTCTCCCTCTAGGGCTGTCAAAAAAGCTCGTTGTTCGCGAACAGTTCGTGTTCGATTCGCCAGAGCGTTCGTGTTCGATTCGTTCGATAAGCAAACGAGACGAACACGAACATTTTTTTTCGTTCGGTTTGCTAAACGAACCAAACACGAACAGTGATGCGTTCGTTCGTGTTCGAATCGTTATTGTTCGAAATAAAAAAAAATAATATAAATAAATAAATAGATATAATTTATGATATTTTTAAAATAATTATATACTCAAAAAAATTAATATATATTAAAATTTAAAACCTGTAAATTATAATGTAAAATAAATTATTAATAATAATATATTTATATACTATCTAGACTCTAATAATATAGATATTATATATTTATATAATATAAGATGTATAATTATTATAATATATTATATTATTATTTTTATATTATAATATATAAAAGAAAAGAAAGAGGGGAAGCCCTAACCCCCTTTCGCTTGTTTGCTCATCATTTTCC